TACTTAAATGCGAAAGCACCTACCAATTCATTTGTATAAGGCATGTTTTTAGTTAGGAGTGGACAAATAATTCGTGAATCCGTGAATACGATTTGACTCCGTCCGATTCATGCGGATCGAATCGGATAGAATTGCTACACCCACATATCGATGGTAGATTTAAAAAAATCTAATCTGTAACTCACGGATCAAATCACGAATTAAACTGTTAAAAATTCGAAATAACGGTTGCAGATGATTTAAGCATAAGTCCACCCGAAGGAATGATGAATCACGTGTCTCGACAGACATCGATAAGATTCATTATTTCTCCCTAGGTACCACCTCCGCAGCTGAAGCACAAAATGTATTTAATGCTCATATTAAAACTAACACAGCATGCCTAATGGGTAATACCCCTTGGGTAAAAGACCAACACCCTGGAAGAACCAATGGGTAATACCCAATGTGCTCAGGTTATAAATATTGTTGTTTTAAGCATTAAAGGCTGAGGTGTCTAGCTTTAAATATTGCTGTTTGGTTAAGCATTAAAGACATAGGAAAAAGGGATTTGTGTAGTAAAGTGGTTCCTACCTTCACCATTAAAACTCCTTTGACTGGTCTATTCTTCCTCCTTCATTCAAACTCCTCTTTGGTTTTCTCACATTAAAATGATGGAAACCGCGCTATGTCTAGGAACCGAAAAGTTTTTTTATTTTATATTGTCAGCCCTTAAAAAGACAAAATAAAAATAATTGGGCGTGGGGTGCAAGCTAGCGGTTTGTTACTAGATCTTTTCCATTATCACAAGCGTTGACTACTTAAATGCGAAAAGCACCTACCAATTCATTTGTATAGGGCATGTTTTTAGTTAGGAGTGGGCAAATAATTCATGAATACGATTTGATCCGGTCCGATTCATGCAGATCGAATCGGATCGAATTGCTACACCCACATATCGATGGTGGATTAAAAAAAAATCGAATCTGTAACTCACGGATCAGATCACGAATTGAAGTGTTAAAAATTCGAAATAACGGTTGCAGATGCTCTCAGTACCCAAAGGAATGATGAATCACCCGTCTCAACAAAGATCGAAAAGATTCATTATTTCTCACCACCACCTCCGCTGCTGAAGCACAAAACGTATTTAATGCTCAGATTAAAACTAACACAGCACGCTTAATTGGTAATACCCCTTGGGTAAAAGACCAACACCCTGAAAGAACCAATGGGTAATACCCAATGTGCTCAGGTTATGCCATTTTAAGCGTTAAAGGTTGAGATGTCTAGCTTTAAATATTGTTGTTTGGTTAAGCATTAAAGGCATAGAAAAAAAGGGATTTGTGTAGTAAAGAGGTTCCTATCTTCACGATTAAAACTCTTTCGACTGGTCTACTCTTCCTCCTCTATTCAAACTCCGCTTTTGTTTTCTCACATTAAAATGATGGAAATCTAGCTACGTTTAGGAATCGAAAAGTTTTTTTTTTTCTATTGTCAGCCCCTAAAGAGGTAAAACAAAAACAAAAAAATTTATTTAGTAACATATATATTTTTTCTGTAATAGAAATCGTTTTCCGTTTTTGTGAAGAAATGAAGAAACATAAAAAAGGTGTTTCTCATGTTTTCGACACTATTGATAAAAAATGTTTTCAATGGCGGATTTAGAAATTGTTAATGGGGTGGACTAATATTTTTTTGGGTGGGCAAATTACTAGTAATAAAATTTTTATTTTTTTGGGACTGGGCTAAAATTGACCATAATAATATTTTTTTTTTGGATAGGCTCAAGCCCACCCCCTAGATACGCCCTTGGACTTTTCACTATTATTATTACATATATACTGTTTATTTCAAATAAAATATATGTTATTCATGTTTAATAATTGAATCCATGTGCTCATCATGCTGAAAAAAAATCCTTTCCAATTACTCTCTTATTGAATTGGGCCAGTTACTCTCTTACTGGATTGGTCTAGTAAGGAGATTAAAAACCTTATTCGACGGTTGAGTTAAATTCATATTTACCAAATTTTTTCCTTTATTTTCATTATGTTGCAAGAATATTTATTCGACAACTTTTTGATTATTATGTCATATTACTTGCATCTTTCAACAGTGTTTAATTCATATTTTTGGGGTTTCATTTTTTATTTTATTTTATTTATTTATTTTGCTGCATGTTCATTGGGTGCCCAATGACATGCCTGCTAACCCAATATCCGCAAGTCTCCTTTTTAGATTTTCTCTGCCGTACAAGTTGGGCCTCCTGGTCCTAGTTTTTGTTAATTGGGCCATTGACCCATTAATAGCCTAGCCCACTTTATATATAGAAAGGTTTAGGTTTATGAAATCAGCTCGCTCTCTCTCTCTCTCTACTCCACAAATGTCTTTTCTCTCATCTGTTTAACTAAATGGTAGACACTAATCAATGATAAAATCTCTCTCTTCATTGATAAAGCTTCCGTGTCTTCTTCTTATACCTATACATATACATATACATATATGCAATCAACATTGTTTGATATTATTTTCCTCCCCCATATTGTTTCTGTCTCTAGAGTCAACAGTCAACATGCAGATGCTGAAGAAATCAAGTTGATTTCAAATCGATGCATAGACGCAGTTGAGACTCCGAAAAACCGAGTACCCATTTTGTTTTTTGGGCTGAAAACAGAGTACGAAGAACGACGAGCAAACTTGGTTTCTATTTGGAGTTCTCTCTCTCTCTGACAGACCCGAATGGCAGCAGCTTCTCATCTCTTCTTCTGGGTTTTTCTTTGGGTATCTCGTCTATGGCATATGTGAGGTATGATGTTTAAAACCCTCTGTTTGTTTCCCTAGAAAATAGATTCGTGTTAAGAGGTTAAATTTTGAAGTCGGTTACATTCTCTGCTATTTAATTTATTCAAGTTTCTCAATACATTATATGGCTTATATAATTTTAATGATGCAGGTTTTTTGTTTTGAAAGAGTAACATAAAGACTCATTTGGATTGAGTAGTGTCGGAAAAGAAAAGGGTAAATTCTTGCAACTTATTTTGGTTGTTCTACTAATAGTTTTTCAATTAAAAAATATTTACATCTCATTTTGTTAGTATCTCACTTGAGCTGATTTACTTACTACATTAATTTTGTACATACATTCTTCTATACCATTGCTTAAAATTAAATGTACTCATTTTTTTTCATTTAGCTTGAAGAGTTTTTGTTATCAAATTTTATACTTTTATGAAACTGTTGTACTATGGATCAGTGCGTGTAGCATGGTTGCGAATTATTTTGGTTGGTTGATCTCCTATTTTTATTCCTTGACAAGGGTGTTTTGTATTTTAAGCTTGTCTAATATTATTATTATTATTATTATTATTTTTTTTTGTGAACCTTAACAAAATTTTATAGTGTTCAATGCAGATTAGGTTTTGTAAAATCTATCATGTAAGAGAAACGTTTTTGGATTTGGTAGAAAAGGAAAATATAATATATATATATATATATATATATATATATATATATATATATATATATATTCCCATATATTCAGTTGAGATATAAACATTACTCTTTCTCTAGAGTGTCTATGTTTTCAAATATCAGAATATCTATTTTTCACCCATCATAAATTGTTGACTAATTTAACATTAACATAATTCAATATACTTTATTAATATAATATTAATTCGAACTTTTTGGTTGCCCTTTCCCAACCAATATGATGCTTGAAAATCCATCTCCATAACCTGTGGCCCTTTCTCATTCATTGTGATGGTAACAAATGTGTGTACATAGACATTAGCAACTCCTTCCTTTTTTAAGTGCTGCTTAATTCAATATACTTGTATGTAGTACCAAGATTTAGGGATACATGAGTGAAGAATTTCAGGAAAAACAAGAACAAAACACAATAAAAAGATAAATCGGACTATTCTAAATATTTCAAAAGAAATGATACATAATCTCATTCTTATTTGCTCTTAACCTAATGCGTGTGATTGAAAGAGTATGTCATCACCACACTCCCATCCATTATTGTATGTAGTATCAAAATTTAGTTCGACATTTATTATTGGATTAAAATCACATTTAGTAGATCGAACAATACATTTTCACCATTTTTATTCTTCAGCTAAAAGTTTAAAAATTTTATTTTCATTATATTTATTTTTCAACATAACACCCTTAAATCTGATTTTTATTCTTCAACACGACGCCATTAAATTTGATATTATCCATTATTGTATGTAGTACCAAAATTGGTATTGTCTTTTTGTGTTTTCAGGGTGAATAATTTATATTGATTAGTGCTAAATTGATATTATTATTCATGTTAATTTATCAGACAACTCCACCAATGACATTTAATTAGTTTAACTGAATGATCATGTTAAACATAGGAAAGGTTGTACGTGCAGGAGCGGGATGAGTAGCTCTCACATTTGCTAAGCAAAGATGATCATCTTCGTCTACTGCTTAGCATATCAAATCGGTTATTTATTTGCTCAATATTATTATCTAAAGATATATAGTGCGTAGAAAGTCACTAGAGACACTTAAGTTAGAGAGAGAGAGAGAGAGAGAGAGTGCGTAAATTTAATCATGATTTTGAGCACCTGACGTACAATGGATACCTAGTTTCGTCTTATTTTTATTATTATTTTTTTTCTCACTTATGCTAATTTTAAATTTTAACAAAAGTTATGTGTTTAAATTATTTTAGTTAAAAGTATATGTATATTGGAATGTCAAAAAAGCCCAGGACCAGTCCGACCCAAGGTTCAAGTCAAAAAAGCCCAGGACCAGTCCGACCCAAGGTTCAAGTCAAAAAAGCCCAGGACCGGTCCGACCCAAGGTGACAAAGGCCTCAAAATTTTGTATATCATTGCAATTGGCCTACTCAACCACGAATACGAAAAAGCATTGAAACAATTCGGACCAATAGGAATAGAGTATTATATCATTGCGATCCGAGTGGAACACTATCTTCACATCTGGGCCGTCCACTTCCTTTGAGAAAACACAACCTCCCCCATTATCAACCGTGCGATACAATGCCGACACCTGCTTGCCATATATACGGGATACTCTAACAGATTCAACAAAAGTTACCTTATTGTTTAGAGATAGAGGGAGAGAAGGCGAAGATACCTGTTCATAATCTCAGAGGTTAGTTCGTCTTTTTATTTTAATGTCTAATAGTTATTAAGGCTTTGACTTGTTATATCTTTGTATCGATCGATTTTGCTTTGTTGGTTCGGCTAAATTTCTGTTATGGTTTTGCCGCTCTTGTGTTCCATATGAAAATCTAGGGTTGGGGTTTTGGTGTTCCGATTTTGGTTTATGTTCTCTTCCCTTCCGATCTCGTATTTCGTTGAAATTTTTGGATTTGTTTGTGTATTTTGAGGTTTTCTTCTTCGTTTTCTGTTGTGCATTTTAAAAGAAACGGTATATTGTTTTTATTTTATTTTCTAAATCAACTAATCAAGCTCTGTAATTCTTGTTTTGCAAACTAAATCCTATTTGGTGAAATTTTTTATTATCTTTTTAAAATATTTTTTTTTTATTTTTTATTTTTTGTTGTCAATTATGTCTACAAGAAAATTTGAATCTGGGTATGAAGAAAAAAAGAATCTGAATCGGATTAGAAATCTGCAGAGATTGAATCTGAAACAATTTTTATCAACATGCCAAGCTTTTTGAAGATGGAAATCTTTTCAGAACTAAAAAAGAAAATCATAACAAGAACTTTGACGAGCAAAAGTAGTTAATATAGGGTAAAGCTCTAAAGTTACTTCTTGAAAATTTAAATAGTTACAAAAAGCATGCTTTTGAGTGAATTCCATAGTGTCGGAAGGGCCTTGCCATGAACTACGTCCCACTCTGCTTCCACTAGTAGATTCTCAAATAGGATTCTTAAATTGGTCAAAATAAGAGATAGGGTACTGAGTGGTGAATTGTTCAGAAATAAATTGGTAATATCTTTTATTAATTACCCAAATAGGATTTTCTATGCCTTAATCAGTCAATTGTTTAAAGAAACATTGTTAGTTAGCTAAAATTGAATTAAACAACAGTTGATTTTGGTTGATTTATTTTGATTTAGCCCACCCCATTGAGAAATCCTGAATGTTTTGTTTAACATATAAATACCGTCAGTGTAATGCACAAAGAATATATTCAATCTTTCTTTCATATTTTTATTTTCAAGTTTTGGTTTTTCATTTTATTTTGTTATTAGAATGCAGAATATTAGGATATTGATTTGTTAATTTTGAAGATTATTCTTAAAGTGATGCATTGTACTTTGTTACGGATTAATTTAACATACGAGCTATGTGCTAATCACACATATCTGTAATCACAACTCTTTCTATGGATGGGTGTCCAACATTTTGACTGAAACCATAGTTAGGTTGGGTTGATACATGATACACATATAGTACTTAGATGGTGGTGTGGTGTTTTAATTGTTACAAGTGAGATTGTGAAACCTCTTCCTCACAATTCGAGCGTTTTCTTAATTTTAGGGTTAGCATTGGGTCTTAACATTTTGCAAGAACAAGGTTCAAGAAACATGTCTCTTCAGTTTTCAGGTAACAAACTTTTATTTTTTCTAATTGGTATTTTTATCTATTGGTTATGTTTATATATTCATGTTTTACATAATGATTTTTTGTTTGTGTTTTTGTTTCTACATACACCTATATAATATTGTTATGATTTAATAATGGGAATTAAAGAAGTTTTCTATTTCAAAATATATGTTTTACAAGTTTTTCTTTTAAAATTTTTCCTCTTTTGTCCTAATAATGTAGGTCTCTTCTTCGAGAGTTGATTGGGAATGGGTGGAGTAGGGGAAATTGGAATCTATTCGCCGGGACCAGCAATGGCATCAGAGCGGACAACGATGACAAATTTTTGGTTCGGTTGAACTCGGGACAACTCCCTTCCAATCCGAGTCGGATTGGGTCGAGCGCCACCAGCCACTTCCAAGTTCATCGGATTGGGTCGAGCGCCACCAGCCACTTCCAAGTTCATCGCCGAACTGTAGAAGTCCGCTAGGCGAACTGATCTATTGTTGTCAACAAAACGGAGTAAATTTATTTTTTACTTTCTCAGTTGATACAGCATGCACGCTCAAACTCATGCTCACAGTGGTTTTGTTATAGTGCTGGAGTAGGTAATTTTAATAAAAATTACTTTAATAAATTTGCCAAATTGAATTTTGGGGGTCTATGTGTTAACATTATCTTTTATAGCCGACTATTATTCCGTATACCCTTGTATTAAGGGCATTCCTTATAGTCTTATAAGGATTCTTGTTTCACGTTAAATTTGGATGAAAATTGAAATTAGTGTATATACGATAAAAATTGAAATTAGTGTATATACGATTTTAGTGTCACTAAATAATTTAAGTTTTGGGGTTGAATCATGAATCACTGGATTCATTACGGTTAGTATCAAATTTAGATTTAATTCTTGATTCGGTATTACATCAAGCACTGACATAGAAGCGATACCAAAGCGTTCGAATTCGGATTGAAAGTAAAACTAGTTAACCTATTTAAGAAATTCAGCCTTTTTTAATTTTTTTTAATTGATCAGTTATAGTTTTAATGATCAATTGAATGTAGTTAGAGAGAAGCTAGCTTTGTTCTAAAATCGGATTATTATTATAAACAGTGATATATACTAGTTTAGAGGATTAATCAGTCAATTTGAAAAACAAGTCATTTAATGTATTATTCCATTAACTTGCTATGAGAATGATTTTTTGTTTTGTTTTTTTCGTCGTTCGGAAGGTAACTAGCTACCAAAATTTTGATAATTATTAGCTCACCGTCTATGTTTTCACTTCAGACAGATTGAAATCACCATTATCCCAAATCCATTAGTCAGGAAAACATCAAACGGCCACCTAACGTACTAACACACTGAATATCCAGAGACATTAGAAAAGCTCCATCCATCAATAAAAAATGAAGAAATATATAATAAAATTTTAAATATAGCATGTACAACTACAACCTAATTACTTAAAACAATCAACATACATATATAAATATATATAAATTTTTATCCTCTACGTCTAAATACTATATTTATTGTTGGACTTGTGGGGATATTCAACAATTATAACGTACCAATTATTAAATATGAAGCTGCAATACATCTATATGTATTGTTATAAAAGTGTAAAACTTTTTTCTAATTTCTAAATATATTTTTATTTTTTTATTAAAAAAACAAAAACATTTTCATTAAAAGAGTTGATTGTCATCCTAATTTTATATAGTGCTATTACGAAGAAGCTTGCACGGTAATACTACTCATATACTTATAGTATTGATTTGTAATATATAGTAACTCAGCAATTAAAAGGCAATCTTGAAAAAATATTCATAGAATTTTGACTTATTCAAAAATATTTTTCGAAAGTAGGACTTCATTGTTATTTCATAGGATATATTTGTCTTTAAAACTTAAAAGTAAGATTTATTAGGAATTTTTTCCTTTAATTAACAAAGTCAAGTTAAACTATGCACTAATTTTTAATTGAATCATAAATATCTTTAGACATGTAATCACATTAATTAGACTCATAAGTAAGATAATTAAAAAGAACTTTCAAGTTTGCATGCAATAATTTCATAATGAGTATCATGAGTTACATGTTTGTAGTTTGTACTCATTTTCATTGTGTCAAGTTTTTAAATTAGGTAATTATTTTAATTGAGTCATAATCTTTGGACATGCCCTAATTAACCTGGGCTTTTTGCGGTGTGTATATATACCTTAGAATTATTGAGAACTTGCAAAGAACTTGTCAACCAATACTTAACCTGGATATAGGTTAAGTCACAATTATTCTCAATAAATATTGCTCTTGTATAGTTTGAATGCACTTTCACGCATATATTTTTACTTCTATTTTCACTTTATTTAACTTAAATTTTGCCATGGTTCGCACATATTTTTACTTTATTTAACTTAAATTTTGCCACCATGACTTTAACTCAAACTCATTTGTATAACCATAGTCCCATATAAATCAGTTAGGCTATTAATATGGCTATCATCTTAGAAGAAATATAGGCTCTTAGTGAATTCACAGGGATAAATGCAAATTTGTCCCTTGTGGGCCCATATATCTTCCAGTATGTCCAAGGTAATTTACAATCCATTTGACCGAGGGAATTTATAATCCATTAAATTTTTTTATTGTTATCAGATTACTTATTCATTCAAGGGAGATTAAAATCTATGAGTACGGTACAAATAAAATAATATGATAAATTTTTTTAAAATTAAGACGACAATATGGTATTAATATGTTAAAAAATAGTAATTCAATATTTTGTTATATATAAAGATACTCATTTTTATCCACTTTTTTTTCACATAAATCATGAATAAATGCACTAATTTGAATTTTAGAATTAAATGTTTATTATTTTTGTTACTTTAAATTGTATATATTTTTTTATTAGTCCATAATATATTTTAAATTGTATTGAATTTAATTCTTACACAAAAAAATAAAAAATAAATAAAGGTCTAAATAAATTAAGGCTTAGTTTGTTTGGACGTAAAAATATTTATTTTCTGGTGTTTGGTTGTTGTAAAATATTTATAAAGAAAAAAATATTAAAATTTAACAAAAATAAATTATTTATTAATTTTTTACAAATTATTTTACATGTCTCATTCGAAGAACTCGATCTCAATCTCGATGTAAACTTCTGTCAATCACTGACAAAGTAAAAAAAAATATATATTTTACATAAAAAAATGTATATTTTGTAAAAAGAATATTTGACGTTTGTTTAGCCTAAATGTTTTCTAAAATTAACATTTTTTGGACTTGCTAATGTTCCAGTACTTCCAAATTTTAGAAAAGTGGGAATAACATGAACAAAAATTCAACGCTCTAGAAAACAATTAGGCGTGAAAAAAAAAAAAAATTAATTAATTAATTGTGTTTTAATGATACATTGTTCGAGCGCATTATTTTGGATTTTGTGACAAATCATTTAAATTTTCTGTTATGCTGATTAGAATTGGAATTAAATTTTTGCTGTTATGATTTTAAACCACGGAACCATTCGTTTGTTTTAGAGCCCCAATCACATGCCAGCTCTCTCTCTCTCTCTCTCTCTCTCTATATATATATATATATACATAACACATACAAACATAATTGAGATACGTGTCAGCTTTTGGCTTGTCACATAAAACACAATTTTTGCTCCTATAATACTGGTAGTGGGGCTTTGTGACATCTGATGAGCAATACGTGATTAGCAACTCCTTGGATGATTGTCTCATTGAGTTTGCTCCAATCATAATTGAGATACGCGCGTGTCAGCTTTTGGTTTGGAATATTTGATGCATGCTGGCTCTGCCCATATAGAAAGAAAGTTGATCTACACAATACTACTGCTAGAGAGAGAGATATTGGCGGTTTGAGTGAACAGCTGCCGCATCCAGTGAACAGCAGCTTTAACTTTGGTCGGATTGAAATGATATGTTTTAAATTGTTATAATTGTATTAAAATTTTATTAAATTATTAAATTGAAAAAAATTATAATTGTGTTAATTTTGTTGAAGGTGAATTAGAATTTTCAAAAAATTATACAAGGCGGGATGGGGCAGGGACGGGAAGGGGTTTGAAATTTAAACGGTTGTAGGGGCGGGAATGGGGGTAAAATTTTTAACCAGGGATGGGGATGGGGAATGAGATCCCCACCCCACCCCACCCCACCCCACCCCATTGCCTTTCCTACTCATATCTCATATGTCATCTCTGTTCCCCTCGCCATATTCACCAATAGTTTTCTGATATTATTTTCCTCCCCCATATCCCCAATTAACAGGATTTGTGTAGTAAAGAGGTTCTTATCTTCAACATTAAAACTCCTTTGACTGGTTTGCTCTTCCTCCTTCATTCAAACTACTCTTTGATTTTCTCACATTAAAATCAATGGTTCTTTATTGTGACATAATATAATAATAATACTAGACAACACAACAAATGGAAATAATGAAAACCCTCTAAGTAATGGAAAAGATGTTTCTTTTTTTATTTTACTTTATTTATTTATTTTGCTGCAAGTTCATTGGGTGGAAAATGTCATGTCTGCTAACTCAATATCTACAAGTCTCCGTTTTAGATTTCTCTACGGTACAAGTTGGGCCTCCTAGTCCTAGTTTTTGTTAATTGGGTCATTGACCCATTATATAGCCAAGGCTGAGGCCCACTTTATATACCGAAATCAGCTTTTTTTTCTTTCTCTTTTTACTCCACAAATGTCAGCCTTTTCTCTCATCTATTTAATCAAATGGTAGATACTAATGAATGCTAAAATCACTCTTTTCATTGACAAAGCTTCCATGTCTTCTTCATATACCTATACATATACAAATACATATATGCAATCAACATTGTTTGATATTATTTTCCTCCCCCATATTGTTTCTGTCTCTAGAGTCAACATGCAGATGTTGAAGAAATCAAGTTGATTTCAAATCGATGCATAGACGCAGTTGAGACTCCGAAAAACCGAGTACCCATTTTGTTTTTTGGGCTGAAAACAGAGTACGAAGAACGACGAGCAAACTTGGTTTCTATTTGGAGTTCTCTCTCTCTCTGACAGACCCAAATGGCAGCAGCTTCTCATCTCTTCTTCTGGGTTTTTCTTTGGGTATCTCGTCTATGGCATATGTGAGGTATGATGTTTAAAATCCTCTGTTTGTTTCCCTAGAAAATAGATTCGTGTGAAGAGGTTAAATTTTGAAGTCGGTTACATTCTCTGCTATTTAATTTATTCAAGTTTCTCAATACATTATATGGCTTATATAATTTTAATGATGCAGGTTTTTTGTTTTGAAAGAGTAACATAAAGACTCATTTGGATTGAGTAGTGTCGGAAAAGAAAAGGGTAAATTCTTGCAACTTATTTTGCTTGTTCTACTTATTTTGAAGTGTTCAATGCGCGCAGATTAGGTTTTGTAAAATCTCTTTCAATGCAGATTAGGTAAAATCTCTTTCAATGCAAATTTAAAGCATTCAATGTAAAGAGAAACGTTTTTGGATTTGGTAGAAAAGGAATATATATATATATATATATATATATATATATATATATATATATATATATTTTTTTTTTTCCCATATATTCAGTTGACATATAACATTATTCTTTCTCTGGAGTGTCTATG